AGCAGTTTTTCTAGCCATACCAAAGAATTCCTATTTGAAAAAAAAAAAAAGTCAAAATAACTGTGATAGAAATTACTTTATTAAAAAATTCATTTGAAAAGATTATCTCATGAAAGTAAATTAGTAAATAAAGACTAGTTCACACGTACAGAATTGTCACTGTCCAAACAGGCTGTGCCAAACTTATTTCACGAAAAATTGTTGCAAGAAAATAGAAACTAGAGCTATGAGCTATAAAGACGTCACGAACAGCTGTGAAGACAACAGGAGTCCCCAGAGGATCAAGTCGTCTTGCAGACATTTGGTGCAGAACCAGAGGCTCCACACTGTTCTGTTCATGAAAGTGCTCTGTGTGTCTTTACATGGATGTCAGCTCCATAAAAAGTTCCTAGCTTTACACAGAACTAAGTGTTGAATACACCCAATTTCTTTTTGTGGTCCTACTCACAGAAGAATGGTTAGTCACAATGAATCCACACTGAAGTTTAACAAAAGCCAAAAGTCTTGAGTAGTTTTTAGGCACAAAATTATATACTGTCATGGTAGGATACTACGAATTTCTAAATATGTGTACCTGGATACTACGAAGAACGAGAAGAGAAAGCTGAAGGGGGGGGGACTGGTAACAACAGCACAAATGCTACAGCAATTGTAAAATAAATAAATAAAAAGAATGATCACATGTAGTAGGCCAGAAGAGACTACAAAATGAAATACACACATTCAGTGTCAGAGACAGCACAAAAAAGATGAGGAAAAGCACCGTACACAGGACAAGTAGAAAACAAAATGGAAAATGGAACATTCATAATCATATCATCATATGAAACAAAATGAAATAAAACGTAGAAATTGAAAAGCAGTTTAAAAAGAAACAAAGCCAAATGATGTTTCACAAATAAAATCTAAAACAGCCAAAATGTCTGCTAACAGATGAATGGAGAGGCAAATGTTCTATAATCATTTAATGAAATACAATTCAACAATAAAAACAACTAAAATGGACAGTTAACACACAGGTGTATTACAAAATACTGTGTTATGCAAAAGAAGACAACCAGGAGAAGAATTAAAACTACTTCACAGAGATAGATGTCACACCCATAGTTTTCTGGGGTGCACTAGGGGGTAGACGCAAAAAAAGACAATCATGACAAGTTTTTTAGGGCAAGCACAAGGGTCCCATATACTGCCCAGGCCGCAATGGAACTCATGATCCCTTTTCCTGATCTCCTGAGTGCTACAAGTACCAACATGCTCAACCACACCTGGTAATGATGAAACCTTTTGGATTACAGAGATATTTTATTTCCTGGTTGTGTTGGTGAGATAATTCTTTGTGTTCTGTGTAAATCATTAATACTAAAATTAAGAATTTAACTAGAAAACAATGGAAATAATATCCAAAAATACTACAAAATTTATAAATTAAAGAACACAGACTAAAAGCAACTTTAGTTACCTCCATTTTTAAGAACACATACCTAGGTCTCGTGGTCTCAGCTACTCAAGAGGCTAAATCAGGAGGATCATGAATTCAAAGTCTGCCTGGGCTGCAGAGTGAGTTCAAGGCCAGTCTTAAAACCTTAGAGACCCTGCCTCAAAATAAATAGTAAAAAGTAAAAAAGACTACAGCTGTAGCTCAGTGGCAGAATGCCTGTCTAACGTGTGAAGTCACCAATCCTCAATACTGCAAAGAAAAAAACACAAAAGCAGAACAAAATAAACAAGAGTAACAAAACCCCAACAGAACACACACACAGTTTAATCAAGAGTTTAAGAATGTAATCAGTAATAATGTGAAAACAGATCAGTAATTTAACTGTCCAAATAATTTATAAACATATACATAAGTAAACTTTTAAAATTACCAATTGAGGCCGAGTGCATTTGTCTCATGTGAGTTTCTATGACAGAAGGATCCCGAGAGCTGTAACTTCCTAACTCAGGATAAAAGCTAGAGCCAATGTCATCTGGAGGGCTGTGACTCCCTTGTGGATAGTTTTTGGCTATTCTAGGGTCCCAATGCTCCAAGATGGGATGGTTCCAATGTATATATTTACCATCAAATTGTGGATTTCCATACCAACTGTAATAAAACACATGTAGAAAATAGTTGAGAGGTGGCAGTTCCTCCAGGTTAAGTTCAGAAACTCTGGAAGGTTTTGCAGTTCCTCCACCAGCTTTTAAGTTCTTGGTGTTTGTTTCCATGCTAATTGTGTCACTCTTTTTGAAATCAACTTTTTTCCCCAAATGAATATTTCGTTGATGAAGTTCTGGAAAAAGGTCAAGTCCAAAAGGAGTTCCAAAAGTAGATGTACTGGGCTTCAGAATTTTTAAACCCATCATTAGAGAGAAAATGAACAGAATAAAAAGTGATAAAATGATGCAAGTCCTTCTTCGAAATTTTGCCATGATGACATACTTTTAACTCCAAAATAGTAACTGTTTTGCTGTAATTTATTGAAAAAAGACCATTAGTAGGTGGTATAAACAGTATTTTCTAATGTAATCAAAACAGAAACTAAACTCCAGTCATTACATTTAAAGAACAAACTGTATTATCATAATAAACCATCAAATACTGTTCTCTAAAGAACACACATACACACACACACACACACACGCACACACACACACACACACACACACACACACACACACACACACAAAGGCAGTACTGATTTGGAAATATCACCATGTCCATGCCATGCATTCTGTCAAATAAAACTTGTAGAAACTTAATAAACGAAATATAATTTTCATCATGTGGGCAAATTTAGCGTATACTGAATATAGAAAGTGCATATTCCATGTACATGGACTAAAATTTAAAAACCACATGTTAAGAAAAGGAAATACTTTTGAATGCATTAAAGTCTAGGTATAAAGCAGATAGCTGAAAACATTTTAAGCTGAAAAAGCAGTATTATAAAAAAGGAATTAATTATGCATTTGAAACATTTGCAAATGGAATGGAACCAGAGAATACTTTTTTAATGACAGTAGAGGAACAAAAAAGTTAGATATTACAGCAACAACCACTTACAATTGTGTAAATGTGTCCCCAGAATTCACCAGTGGAAACTTCATATCTGGCTCAGCACTGCTGAAAGGGGAGATGCTTAGGCCACGAGGGTGCCATCGATCATGAGTAACTTTCTCTTTTTTAAAAACTGAATTTAGATTGCATGGTGTTAAGTTTCCCTATGGCATGTCGAACAAAATCTGTTTTTGTTGATTGTCTTTCTCCTTCTTCTATAATTCCCTGGTCCCCTTATAAGCTTCGCACCCCTCTCATAGTCCCCTTCCCTCTTTCCCCAGTCCCTAGTCCTGTTACTGGTGCCCTGTTGGCCTCCTTTCTCAACACGTTTTTTCTCTCATGCAGTGAGGTCTCCTTTCTAGTTCTATGTCCTCTAACCACACCTTCCCAAGGGGTGTGTGTGTGTGTGTGTGTGTGTGTGTGTGTGTGTGTGTATAATCATTATAAGCTAGGAGTCACCTATAAGAGAGAATATGTGATTTCGGTCTGACTCTGAGTTGTTCATCCTGCTTAATATACTTTCCACATCCCTCCATTTTCCTGCAAATTTATTTCATTTTCTTTACTGTGAACAAAATTTCATTGTATACATATATCATATCATGAATGATTTAAATGTACTATCAAAAGGGCTTGTCAGGGTCAGTTTGCTCTCCTGAGCCCCTCCTGTTCTGAGAAACCAGTGTCAAGACACCATCTTGGAAGTAGACAGCATCACTCACCAGACAGCTAATCCTGTCAAATCTCGATTTTGGAATTCCCAGTGTCAGAACTGTGAGAAAGAGATTTCTCTTTTATATGAATTATATAGTTTTCTTCACTTTCTCAGAGCAACACATAATGAATACACAAAGTAGTAATAAGCAGGATTCATGTACAACTTTGATGAGACACAGGACAGCCACACATTGAAGACTGTCTAAAACATAGTAATGAAAAGAAAAATATAACACATGAGAAACTTAACAGGCACCATCTTGAATAAATGACCAAAATTAATTGTGGATATATATGATAATGACTTTCTAGAGAGGACATACTGAGAATGAGACAAAATCGCTGCTGTGGTATTTGGTTCAAAAATGAACTTCATGAAGAAACTTAAGACTATATATTAAGGATATACATTAGGAGACACATACACATATACAAGCATATATGCACACACATATATTCATATACTAGTCAGCACTCTATGAGTTCTGCATCCATGGTTCAAATAAACACGGAGGAAAACATTTAAGAAAGAAATTTACATCTGTACCAAACATGTACAGGGTCATGTCACTGCTCTCTATACAGCACAGTACAATGACTACTTGCACAGTACTGATACTCTTTAATACATTTTAAGTATTCCAGAGGTGGTTAGAAATACACAGAAGAAAGTATGCAGGTTTCATTCAACATTTCAGATAAAACAACATGTCATAAAATTTGGTCACCACGGTAGTTCTTAGAACTAACCTCCTGAAAATGCTTACGGATGGCTGTATTTAGATATAATGTAAAAGACACTTATCGGTAATTATAAGCAATTGTAAAACCGTAGCATTTGGTTGAAACCGCTGGTAAAAACAGGAATTGCTAAATTGCTTACAGCATTTTTAAAACTTTGTGTATAAAACTATTTAAAAAGAAATAAAAGAATCTCACTAGAAAGATGTAGAGTATGAAGTCTTACCATCTACTTATTTCTGTAAAGGGCCTAGTCACAAGGTCCTTCAAGTCTGTACTTGAAAGGTCTGTGGAAGGGAATCAGCAGGCCTGTCCATTGGATAGGAATAGTGGAACAATACAGCCATTTTGACTTGTATCTACAGTTCGCTGTTCTGAAATTTTCAAGTAATTGAGATAATAAATCATTTCCTTCGCTCAAAGAAAGTGATAATTGTGACCAAACAAGAAGCCATGAAGCAGGAAAAAAATTATTCTGGTATAATAGAATCCTGATTATATTAACCATACACAAAATAAAATAGGCTTAAAGCATGTACAATAGCTATCTCTGAGTGAGAAAACATAACGGTATTTTCCCTATCTCCTAAAATCAGAACATACCACTTAATAAGGAGGAAATGTTTACTTGGCATTAAGTATTTCATAAGGAAATAATCAGTGGTAATGAATGTTAGAGGCATACAGAATGAGAACTACTCACCGAGAAGAACTTAGGAGAACTACTAGACTTAGGAGTTAGTACAGGACTGACTTTTTGACATTCTGACTTCAGCAGGGTGGTGGAATGGACCAGTCAGGGTACACAACAGAAAGAAGACTGAGTTTGAGATTTGAAAATGTAAGTTCGAATCCTCCTGATGACCTAGCTATGTGACCCTGGATAACTCACTCTTTTTAAAAAGTACTAATAAAGTTGTTATTCTGTGGATCATGCAAGATAATGTTAATAAAAGAAAATCAGAGAGAAAAGTGTATTAATCAGGAAATACCACTTAAATCTTAAAGTAAATGAGAATGAAAGACATATAAAAAGCACTGAAATTTTTTTAAAATAATTTTCAGGTTAACTTTCCATGTTTATCCATGATTATAATACAAAATTTTCATTTATGGACACTACCTATATTTTTCCCATTTTCTTGTCTATAGATGTAATTTCTTAAGCTGGTCCTTTCCTATTGCTTTTTACACTACTTATTTTCATTCAAATGGTTATCATACCATTGCAGATGATCCATCAATTCCATCTTTAGAGATCATGCACTGGCCAACCTTCATATCTTAATTAACAGGTTACTGCAATCATTGGGCTTAAAAGTTTGAGCTCTGCCCCTGCTGATCATAGGTATCATAAAGGCTGCTTGGAAAGTACAGACGTCAGTGGTCTTACCCACTGCTGGACCCTGCATGCTACAATAAGAACCTGCCAGACAAGATGTGCTCCCTGGTGCAGTAGTGGCAAGACTGTTTATGGGAGTAACCAGTTCCCCTCTGGACTGGATCCCATGGGCAGGAAGTCCTGCCTGATACTGTAAACATGGTCAAAAACTATGGCTATAGGGAAGTTATAGGCCGTGAGGAAGAATCTATTATTGTTGCTAAAAATGGCCATATTGTCACACTGCCTTGCAAATATTTGTATCAATAGACTTGCATTGCTCTTCAAACTTGGTCAGAGTATTCCAGCGGGTAGAGGTTAATACATACTCTTAACTGTTCAAAGCGCTAAGAATAAGCAACTTTGAATGCTCATCTGTTGACAGGACTTCCCCCAAGGCTCAAGGAAATGCCGAAGAGAGGACAGAAAGTAAGGGCTGGAGCACAGGGGGGAGTGCTGTGAAACGCTGTACTCTGGACGTGACATGGCTGTTGCACACATAAAATTACACCTGTACAAGAGAAGCTAGTTAGAAAATTCCAGCATGGAGGGCAGAGGTTCCACAGCTCCACAACTTGCTTGGGCAAGTGTGGCTCTAGACCTTAAGCAAAGGTTCCCAAAATACCACACTTTTGTGTCCTGGAAACTGCTACCTTAGAATAATTAATGGTTTCCTCCTCCATGCGGCCCACACTTAATTTGACGACAGCGTATTTTATGTATTTTCTGATCATATACTCAGTACCTTTTTACAGGAATATGAGCAGCAGCACTGTAAATGTGCTTAGAGAGAGTAAAGTCCACAAAGTTCGTGGCACTTTTTCAGGGCTTGCGAACAGCTCAGAGCGTGGAATACTGAATTGTCAATTTTTTACAAAACTGAATTAGCACCACCAAAACCCAGACTTCGTTTTATAGTTCTTTCATGCTACTGCATACAATTTAACGTGTATAGACTATCATCCGATCCTGTCTGTATTTCAAGCTCATATATAAGCTGTAGCCTCCCTTTTTGCCACCTTCTCAGTCCCTCCCTATTTCCCCTCTAATTTATCTACAGGATCTAGCCACAAAAAAAGGAAACACTTTTAACCGTCCCAACTTCCAACTTGGCCCTTTGTAAAGGATGAATCCTCATCCTGCGTAGCTGGGGCAGGTCTGGGGTAAAGATGAAGTCTACAACAGCAGACGCCAACTCTAGGGGGATGAACAAAGACCTCGGAGGATGGTGGCACCCGCGGCCTCCCGGATGCCCAGGGTGCCACACCGCACTGCGGTGGCCTTAGGCTCCCGGGCCTGCGGGGCCTCCACCCCCGACCTGAGTCCGAGCAGCTCGGGGTTTCCGGGTTCAAGGTCAAGGCGTGCGTGAGGCTTCAGAGAAAACTTCCAAGCCGCCGGGCGGGCAGAGCTCGGAAGCAGCGGTGCGCGGGGGCCGCAAACCGGAACCCACGGGAACCCCCGAGGGGGCGGGCGGCGGCCACGGTGGGAAGATACGGCGGGAGGGCGCACAGGGGCGCGGGGTCAAAGGGCGCCGCAGCCCCCGCGGCCCGCGATTGGCTGGAGTAGAGTGCGCAGGCGCCGGCTGCGGACCCGGTCAGTCCGGATTCCTGCTACACTCACCAGGGTCTGGGAGCCGGGCACAGGCGAGGACTCACCCTCCGGGAGGACGCGGTCCAAGGCCGGGAAAGCTGTCAGCTCTGGGCGCCCGCTTCCAGCCCCGCCTCCCACAGGACTGCGCCGGGCGACCCGGAGCCCTGGGGACTGGGCTTCCTGGGGGCGGGCCTTCCCGGGGGCGGGGCTTCCCGGGGGCGGGGCTCCGAATCTCAGTTCCTGGAGCCTAGAAGCCCACCCTGGGATGCAGGAACCGAGTTAAGTCAGGCTGGCTTTCTGCAGAGTTGAAGATTTTCTTCCTCACTTTGGCCTCTAAGACTAAGCTAGAAAGCTAATAGACGACAGGTGTGTTTTGTTTTTCATTAAGAAAAAAAGCATCCAAGGGTTGCTTTTAGTTTAAGTATATTGGTTATTTCTAAAGATTTTCTGTTGAAACTATCTCTTAGCCTTTTAAAAATGTAGAAAGACAAAGATGACATGCTAAATTTAGAAGTGTATTAGGAATCAGATGTGTACTAAAATTACAGTAGAAACCGAGACTAAGGCAGATGCAAAGAACAAGAAGTTTTGCAGCAGAAACTGGAGCTGGGGTTTCTGTCTTACATCAAACTGGACACCAAGAGGTGTCTACATTTTGTTTTGGTCACATAGTGAAACATAAATCTTAACTCAAAGGATGTGAACAGTGTGGTAAAGGTTCTCCTTAAAAACTCATAGTTTTAAGAAAACTATGAGGTAAGCATATGTCTGAAATGTGAATATTTTAAACAGGAATCATGAGAAGTATGCTCTAGTAAAACCTTTTTGCATCAGCTACTTTGCTTCATCATCATCTATAGCAGTTGGCACTTTGGGGCCTGAAAATGGCATCTGGTTAGATTTCTTTCCATTTGCATTTTCCTTCTCCCTACTTAAAATATGCATCTTTTTAGATCCTTGTGGCTCCTAGGATTTCTGCAAAATGCCTGTTCTCAGTTTTGGTTCATTTTATTTTGGATTCTTTGCTTTGAAAATTAATGTGTACATGACATTTATATAATTTAAATACTTTTCACTATGGGTTTCAAATATTTTATCTTAATTTGTTCATTGCCCTTGCTTTTATGTTATCTTTTGACAGTCTAAATAAAGCTTAGGATACTACCTGTTGAATTTAAGAAAAGTTATTGTAATTTGATTAATCAAACACCAAAATTCTTGCTAAAACCTTAATGGTGGTATAGTAATGTCAAGTCTAAGACAAGAATGCTTTTATTAGGTCCATTCAACAAGATCGTGTGTAGCTAAATTTACTGCTGGGAGGCATTCGGTTTCCAGGTTTCCAGGTTCCAAGCACCCTCCTCCCACCGTTCTTATGGCAAACAGAGACAGTATTCCTCCAAACTACAGTTTAGCAGACAAAAGGATTTATTGGGCTTCCTAACAGAGCATGGGGAGGGGGGATACAAGGGTGTGGACATCCCCTAGTCTTTTTCCCTATATTTGCTGTAGTCCCAGATGGCAAGGGCCAAGGACCACCCCCTCTTCCTGGCTTCCTTTGTCCCTATCGCTAGCCCCTCCCTCCTTACCCAGCTAAGGCTGACTGCGTGGGAGGGGTGACTGACTCCCTCTGCCCACTTCTCCTACAGATGGTCTTATAGTCCAATTAGTTTAAGGTGATTGAACCAAGCTGGTGAGAAGCTAGCGAAAAAGGCATCTATCCCCTGTTTGCCCTGCAGAAGACAAGCTCATCCAACACTTCACCCCTTCCTCTGCTGACTATAGTTCCTTGTACCAGACTATTGTTAAGGTCTCCATCAGCATGTGGAAACATAACGTTTTTCTTTCTTTGTATTAAAGTTTGTATTTTGGGGCATCTTTAGTTCCAGGTTGTTCCCTTCCTCATCGCTATGTGCCTTCTCCCGTGGGTCCCATGTTTCAGAGTTTGAGAATGAACCTTTTATTACTGATCTAATCTGGGCTCTCTTCCCTTTCTTGTCCCCTAGCCTTAAGGAACGTCAAGTTAAAAATCTCCATTTTTTTTTTTTCTCTCTTATGCAATTTACTGGCAAGGTCAGAGGCCAATACTGAGGAGGCTTGTAATTCCTCTTTTACCTTTTCAGTTGTGTGTCTTCTGCCCTCAGCCTCTGCCTGGGACAAATCTTTAATTATGCAAAAGAGCAGCCAAGCAGCTTCTGCAGCTGCTTTTTAAAAATTTTGGCCCCTGCTCTGCTTCTAAGGCTTGTAAAATTTGCTCTAGAGCTTCCACAATCTTTAAAGTATCTCCATACACACGTTGCGCCCCCCCCCACACCTTAAAGTATCATTTTCCAAATGATCGTGAGCTATTATTTTACTTTCTTCTAATAATTTTAAAGTTTAACTATGAAATATATTAGACATAGGGGCTGGAGAGATGGCTCAGCCATTAAGAACAGTGACTGTTCTTACAGAGGACCCAGATTCGAATTCCAGAACTCACATGGCAGCTAACAACTGTCCGTAACTCCAGTTCCAAGGGAAACAACAGCCTCATCTGTCCTCCATGGGCATTACACGACACTGGTGCACTTACCTACATGCAGGCGTAACATTTATACACATAAAAACTGTTTTTTTAAATAAAAGATATATTAGCTATAGAAAAGACTGAATAATATGGAGAATAGCATAATTACCACCCTACCTTTACTTGTTTATATTATAAATTTCACTGTCTCATTTTCCTTATGAATGTTATTTGAATTGTATTAGCTGTAATTAGCCTTTATTCATTTTTGCAAATTTTAACAAGCCAGCCAAAGTTCATGAAAAAATTCAATTTAGATTTGATTGTACTTTTGATTAAATTTGAGTTATTTTATAGTTTATAGTTTAAAGAAATGTCTTTTTGTCCATGACCATGGTGAATTTATCCATTTATGTTTGGATCTTGTGTGTTCTATAATACTTTTTCATTCATTTTATTAATGTTTTCATCACATGGGCTCCTAAGTTTGATAAAGTTGAACTCAACTTTC